TCCAAAGCCCTTGGTCTTACTAACACTGAATAGCAACAATGTGTGACAATTAATCAAAGAGCATAACAGGGTTGTGTAACCGAGGGCAATGCTATGGACAGGTAAATATGGACAGAGGAACACGGGAGCAGATTCAGCCCCTTGAGCCTGTTCCACCATTCAAATGAGATCATGGCTGATCTCTGGCCTAACTCCATATACCTGCCTTTGGCCCATTTCCTTTATCCCTTAATAGCTTTGCCTCACAAAATAATTTATCTATCTCAGATTTTAAATTAACAACTGATCCAGCATCCACTGTCGTTTGTGGAAGAGAGTTCCAAACCTGTATGTGTGCTTGTGTCAAAGTGCTTCCTAATGTCTCTCCTGAACGGCCTAGCCCTAATTCTCAGACTATACCCCTAGTTATAGAATCCCCAACTAGTGGAAATAGTTTGTCTTTATCTACCATGCCTTTTCCTGTTAATATCTTGAAAACTTTTAGCAGATCATCCCTTAACCTTCGGAATTCTAGGCCTCATTTGTACAAGCTCTCCTCATAACCCCTGAAGTCCAGGTATCATTCTTGTGAACCTGCGCTGTACTCCCTCCAAGGACAGTCTGTCGTTCCTAAGGTGTGATGCCCAGATCTGTTCACTGTGGGCTCTAACCAGGCTGTGAGCATTATGCTCAGTGACATTGAACCATCACAGTTACTGACAATCTACTGAAGGACAAAACTGTAACTGAGAATGATAAGGAATTAAAGGATGAGACCTTAGCTGGTGACCAATGAGCCCTGGAGGAGAGGTCCTTGCGGGAGAAGCACCGTCTTCCTTGGCTTTGGAACAAAGTGATGGCAGGAACAAGGATCCAGACTATGGAATGGAAGCGATTGATGGGAATGGGGTGGTCCACTTGGGGAGCTTTGGCTCTCATGGAAGACAAGAAATGTTGACAGACTGTAATGCACCACACCAAATGTGCTTGGTGTATAACTTTGATGGTGGCTGTCATAATAGCGGATTTGAAGCAGGAGCCAGACTGAATGGGCTCAACAGGGGAGTGGTGGAAATGATGAGCATTAAATTGGACAGGTGTGATTCAATCTATTGAAGAGATTCATTTCAGAAAAGGTGAGTTAGAGCTGAGTGAATAATCGAGGACAAAACAAAGGTTTAAGGGTAGGCTTGAAGAGAAGTTTGATTATATCAGTTTCGATAGGGAGGAACAGTGCTTGAGAAAAGGGAATGGTTAATGATATTGATGAGTGTTGAGGGAGGGAGCAGCAATTGAGCTAAAGGAAATAGACTGAGAGAGATGAAGGGACCAAATGTTGTTGATTTGATTTGATTTGTTACTGTCAAATGTACTGAGATATAGTGAAAAGTATTGTATTTTGTGCTAACTGGGCAACCCGTACCTTAAATAAGTACATCAGGGTAATGAAACAGCATGCAGAATATAATGTTACAGCTACAGAGAAGGTGCGGAGAAAGACCAACTCAAATATATGAGTGGTCTGTTCATAAGTCTGGTAACAGCAGGGAAGAAGCTGCACATGAATCTGTTGGTATGTGTTTTCAAACCTAACGCAAGAGGGTGGAAGGGAGTATAACTGGGGTCGGAGAGGTCTTTTATTATGTTGGTTGCTTTCCCGAGGTTGTGGGAAGTATAGGCGGAGTCAGTGGAATGAAGGCTGGTTTGGAAGATGGTGTCTGTTGTGGGCCAACATAGGAAATATTAGGACCATACTTGGAACAGGGAACGACAATGAGGGGTAAAGTGTGACATAAGAACAAAGATCAAGCCAGTAACTGCAATCACCTCTACAGTGAGACTCAGCTTCACCAGCAAATTGATAATTTCTGGATACAGAGTAAAATCCTCGATCGCAAGTACAGTAAAAGCTCCCTTCAGTGTTGTGGCAGATTGCAGTAGGCCCACAGGGGTTAGAGAGACACTCGTTCGCATCTGCAAAAGAACAATGAGTTTGGGAATAACTGCTGGATTCTTCACTGTACTAGCAATGTTCAAACCTCATAAATGTCAGTGGCTCAAATTTTGTCTCTGCAGGATGAAAGTTTCCCATGGACACATCTCAACCTAAGTTGTGCGAGACTTAAAGTGGAAACTCTGATATAGGGGACACAAGACTGATGCTAAGCCTATTCCAATTGGAAATTAAACACCGCTCTGATGTCATTTAGTCTTCTGAGGTCAATTCTGTGTAATTGTTTTGTAACTAAATCTGACTGGTCATTGTTAGCCTGAATCTGACATTCTGACGGAATGATATTTAACACATTTTAAGATAGATGGGATTGGACGGGAGGCATCAATAGTTTTGATAAAGGCATTATATTGAAATAAAAAAAATTAGTCTGCTTTCAGAAATTATGCTCTTTCTCTAAGTACAAGTGAAATGCATTTACGGAAGCTCCAAATCATAATACAATTATGGGATTTCTGCAAGACCATAGCAATGGCACGCCTTGCCGTGCTTGATGTGATTACCATGGAATATAGGATTATGTGTCTGTGTTCATAAATATTAGCAATTTTTTTTTTTCAGATTTCTGCAGATAATCTCCAGGTGGGATCAAAGCTAGTTTGGAAACTACACCTAGCACAATGTTCACGTCATGCATTTTGGATCATTGCAACTTGCTGAGTATTCTAAATTTCTATGCACCTCATCTCTGGTTTGTTTGTCAATGGTCTTTAACCTGTGCCCTCTGGCTTCTGACCCATCAGCCAGTGGAAATAGATATTCCATATTTTCCCTGTCAAAACCACCAATACTGTTAACGAACAGAACTGTAGCTGAGGGAATGGCCAAAGCAAGGATTAATCCTTGGCATCTAGTCATAAATCAAACCAAAATCATTGTGAAAGGTGCAACCCATAATCAACCAATTAACACCTACTTCCCATGTACTGTAAAACTGTTGTCCCCTTTCTCAAGTTGCTTTTCTTGTGTTTTGATCTTGATGAGGTGCAAGACAAGAATAAAAGCTTCAAAATCACAACTTTTCTTAGCAATGTCTTTGGTCTATACTGCCACACAGGTGCTTGATGGCTTAATGTTGGGTTCTAAAGTGAGTTACATTGTGTGGGACAAAGCAAAGATTAATCCTTGGCATCTAGTCAGTCCTATAGGTCAACTAGCATTGACTGATCTGGACTGTTGTTGTTACAAGCCCCTCATAGCAAGTCCACTTCCAATCAAGTTTCTCAGCAGTAACCTTTCCACTCAGTTTATGAACTTAGCCTGTCCTGTTACATAGAGAACTACCCTGACCTGTTTCCAATGAGGAAGTATACTGACCTCGACAAAATGACACAGTTTTACCATTGAGGAACTGATTGGACACTGAGGCAAATCCGATCTTGCAAGTGCAGTGGAACCCTCCAATGTTGTTGTGGCAGATTGAATAGGGTCCACATGGACCCATGAGACACTCGTCCTGGTCTGCAATAGACAGGAAACGTCATCAACAGAAGGAACCTGGCTCAGGAGTGGGATACGCAATGATATTTTAAGCATTGCTCAGCAACAAAGAACAAGACATGGAGGTAAGAAGGTTCTCATCTTGAGCTCATCAGGACTGCAATGCACGAAAGCCAACTTCAGAAAAGAGACAACAATTTATACAGCACATGAAGAAAGTGCTGATTAATTGGATCCTGGATGTGGCAGAATCTGTTACCTGTCAATCTTCGTTACCTGACTCAATTCAAACCAGACAAGTTGACTCTGATTGGTCAGGAATAGTCAAAGGGACACAACAGAGATTGGCTTTCTCCATATCCTTTCCCGACAGCTTCTTCCCAGCTGTTATTAGACTTTTGAATGGGCCTCTCAAGTTTCAAATTTAAATGTTGATCTCACTCTTCGTGCACCATTGTATTCCTCGCTCTGTTCTAACACCCAAAAGAACTTTGTATGGTATGGTATGTTCTGCCTGTACTGCACGTAAAACAAAACTTTTCACTGTCCCTAGGTACATATGGCAATAATAAATCAAACCAAAATCATTGTAGAAGGTGCAACCCATAATCAACCAATTAACACCTACTTCCAATGTACTGTAAATTGTTGTGCCCTTTCTCAAGTCACTTTTCTTGTGTTTTGATCGTGATGAGGTGCAAGACAAACACAAAAGCTTCAAAATCATATCTTTTCTTAGCAATGTCTCCAGTCTGGTACTTGATGGTTTAATGTTGGGTTCTAACGTGAGTTACATTGTGTGGGATGAAGTTCCATTCTACTTGGTCCAAGGATTTATTGATGGAAAGGGTAACGTGTTGCTCAAATGTTTCACTTTGTACTCATCACGAACAAGTGCCAAGAATGCCAAAAGTGGATACACAAATCATATTTTCCACTGATAGGAAGCTGTTTAGGAAGTGCTGCAATACAATCGATAGCACCTTTATTTATGAGGCGCAAGTCGCGATTTTTTGAGCGAGTTCTGAAGACGTCACATTGAATTTGTAATGTTGAATCTATTTCTCTCTCCACAGACCCACTGAATTTCTCCAGCATTCTCAGTGCTTGTCTCAGATTTACAACATTCTCAGTATTTTGCTTGTACAGTTTCTTGTGAATCCATTTTTTATTTACAATCCCTTTCTGCATCTTTCCTCACTAACTTCTGATTTAACTCTGTGACACTCTGGGCGTAGGGAATTACTTTCTTTTTCCATCTTCCCTCACTTCCTAATTTGCATCTTTGACATCTGAATCCATCCCATTAGGGCATATTGTCCCCAGATCAGCTTTGGCAGAATTCTTCAAAGTTCATGTAAAAATCACCCCCTTAATCAAAGAAGAGTAGCTCTTCCCTTCATTTTTTTCCCTCAGAATTCACTTTCTCTTTATTCACAGTTGCTTTCGTTAAATAGAAATGGGAGAAAAATGGGGTCGACCAGAATTGAAAAGGAAATAATAGCATTAAACGATGAACACTTTTCAGAATTATACTCATAAACTTAATAGCACGCTTAAAACTCACCGACACATGTTCCATTGGTGTCGCGTATGTATCCATCTGCACAAGGCTGCCCAGTGGCACGCTCATTCCAGAAGAGACACAGATAAACCACTAGAAGGAAGAACAAAAAGTAACATTGCTTCTTGTATATTGTTTTGCTATGAAGAAGTGTTATCCAAATTATTAACTTATAATTTCGTTGACTGGTCATATCACTGAGAAAAGGAGTTGCACAGGACAATAGGTGTCATGATCAGCCATGACTTTATCAAATGCTGGTGTGTGTTCAAGGGGCTGAATGGCCTACTACCAGTCCTGATTCTTGAGTTTGTATTTGCTTTTGTATACCATGGCTTTGTGCATTTCATTGAGTCACCGATTCATTGAGACCAAGAAAGGTACGGGTTATAGGACCAGGCAGAGCGCATTCAGCTTCCCCAAGCCTGTCAGTCCGACCATGGTTCGTCAGCATCTTGTTATTGAGCTACCTAAACTCTACATGCCCTTGGTACACATCCTGAACAGCCACCGCTCAATCTCATACTTCAGCTGGCCCTCCAGCATCCACCGCCTTTTGGAGGAGAGAATTTATGATAATGTATGAAACAGGATCAGGACTGCAACCAGAGATAGTAAGAACTGCCGATGCTGGAGTCAGAGATAACACAGTGTGGAGCTGGATGAACACAGCAGGCCAGGCAGCATCAGAGGAGCAGGAAAGCT